AGTTGGGAATTGGTCCTGCTTTGAGCAGGGGGTTGGACTAGATGACCTCCTGAGGACCCTTCCAACCCTGATATTCTATCTCACCACTACCTTTCTGTGCGGCATCCAAGATCTTGTAGGTCTCGGCCCTGATATCATCTCTGTCATGTTTCATTTTGGCCAGATCCCTGGACACTGGAAACACAACACGCCGTCGTGTATGGGAATGGGGTCCCATCCCTTTAAATAGTTTGGGAGCCTCGAGTGGCGCTCACCATGTTCTGTGTGTGCAAAGCCGCCAGAAGTTAGCCAGGGCCACAGGTGTGTGCAGCTCGGCCTGGCGTGTCTGTGTACAGACCGTAAACACCGGGCTTTGGGGCCTGGCTGTGACACTGAAACAGGGCCCCTTTCTCAGCAGCGGGAGGCACCGAGCTTGTTACAGTCGGTCCGATACAGTCATTAGGGACTGGAGATCTGGCTGAACACTCCAGCAGGACCCCAGTCTTTCACAAGGGTCAAATTTATTCAGCTCAACCCTGCCCCCTCTCTCTCCCTAAACCCCAGCAGAAGCCCTGCCCCTCCCCCCACTGCCCTGTCCCCCAGTTCCCTACCCCTGGCTCCCCAACACCCCGAGCTTATTACACCTGGTCCTCCTCTTTCTGCCCAGCTCTTGAATCTATCTGCCTCCCCTCGGCCCCTAATGGGTCCCTGTCCCCCATCTCCTCCCAGCTTTTCCCCAAATGATTCTGGGGAGCAAGAAACAGCCTCTCTGTAGCAGCCCAGCCCAGACTGTTCCCTGAAGGCCAGACTGGGAACACACTGGGGTGAGAATCCCTGGCACTAAAGGGTTAATCGGCTTCCCCCCATTCAGAATGGGGCCCTGGTGCACACAGAGCCCTGAGCACAGGCTCCGGGGGTATTGGCTGCATCCCCGCTGGGGTCCGCAAGGGTGGGGCTTGACCCTGGGTTTCCTGCCCTGGTGCCTCCATCTCAGGGAACGAATCACAAATGTCGCTCGCTCAGGCTTTATCCGGCACGGGGGGGATCCCAGATTGCCATGGCCACCCAGGGCTGGGATTCTGCAGCCCCATCTCAGCTTCCCGCTGCTCTTCTCCTCCCACTCACCCCCCCTTCCTCCGCCTGAGCCCTGCTCCACACCCCGGCCTGCCCTCACCTGCCGCTCTCAGCTTGGCCTGGTCCGACTTCAGCTTCTCCAGCTCCTTGGCCTGGTCCGACTGCAGCCTCTCCAGCTCCTTGGCCAGCTCCTTGGCCAGCTCCTCCCCTGAGAGACAAACAGAGCCCATCACACTCCTGGGGAGTCTCGGGGACCGGGGCTGAGCGGGGAGGGGTGGAGATTGGGCAGGAAATGGGGAATGGGGTAGGGAGGGGCTTGTGAGGAGGAGGAGGGAGGAAGGCCAAAGGGGTGAGATGAGAGGTGCAGGGGAGTCATAGAGGGGATGTCAGGCTGCAGGTCGTGAGGACTAATAGGAACTGTGTAATTATGGGGGACTTTAACTTCCCAGATATAGATTGGGGAACAAATGCTAGTAGCAATAATAGGGCTCAGATGTTCCTAGATGTGCTTGCAGATCAATT